AATTTTTTCAAACATTCCTAACCTGAAGATCTTGCAAAGTATGAAACAGAATGGTTCTTCAAAGTAACATTATTATTTATGTTTTAATTATTAATAGAATCCTCATCAAATTACATAGACAAAAAGATAAATTATAAATTTACTCCGAGTCAGAATAAAAAGACAACGTTCAACTATTAGAATTTATTTTATATTGAGATTTTACCGCCGTCGAATATTATAGGATTTTCATCTACTATGATTGTCTCGCAATTTGTACCTTTAGAATTTAGATGTACACAAAGAAAAAATACTTTTATTTTTTATAGAAGTTTTAATTGAGCTGTTGGGTTTTCGTTATAATCGCCATATTATTGAAAAACGCTAAAAAGATTTCTAATACCTATAGAGATTTAATCAATATAGTCATTAAAAAATAAAAATACAATATCATATTAGATTTGTTTTCTTTGAAAATTGTAATACAACATTAATTATCTACAAAAAATCTTTAAAACGGAGTGGTTGAGTTTATTTTGTTTTTTTTTTAATTTTGTAAATTTGTCAAATATTGCGAAACTAAAAAGCTTATTTTAAGAAATTGTGTACAGTGTTTGAAATAATTAATGCACATCATAAATATGAAGAAAAATTTGTTTTATATTATACACATTTAATATGAACCAAGTTTTCTTAAAAATATATATATAGGTAATTATTCAATACAATGCATTTAACACTAAAATATTCTAATTGAGTTCGTTCTATAAATACTAAATACATCGTGGACTACGGCTAATTCGGACGAGATTGATACCGAAAATCGCTTGGAAATAGGTTTGTAATTTAAATCTCTACAAACACACTCACCACACAAAATTATAAATAATGATAGATAGATATTATCTAGAGAAAACGTGTACACGTTTTAATTTTTAGATCACCCTTCTCGAAAGAGTATGAAAAAAATTATGCTCATAAATCATTGACTCTTCAGGTGAAATCTGTAAAAGTCTATAAGAAAATATTATGACGTGTCTTCTTCCTAGCTTTGAATTTGATGTATTGTGTCTTGTGATTTATGAATACAACCCAAACAAAACAAAATATATGAGTACTTAGAGCTGTTGGCTTATTTTTGTTGTCCATTGAGATTATTGATAATCGTTTCCGACGATTTCAATTTTGCCATAGATGACTGTTAGTACCTATAGACAATTAATATTAATTTGATAAATCATAGATATATGTACCTACTCGTATAGAGCTATTTTAATTTACATTATTTGATTTTATATTTAAGTTGTTCGTTGCATTTTAATTGCAACCAATAATCATACACACTATACCTACTCTGTACGCCGAGAGACCGTATCTCTTTACGCAGCCGACTGACGGAAATCTACTCTCCGCCGTCTAAAACTATTTTATATACAGAGTGAGTTCAAATAAACTTCCATGTGATGTGGACCGTGGTCGAACACAACATTTCACGGATGACGGATCGCAATCACTGCAATAAAACGCGACACTGTATAACTTGCCATCACTCTAAAAAGTCTAAAGAGTCTAAAGACTCTAAAACAACACTGCAACAGCCAACAGGTGATAAGTGTAGATGAGCTGAAGCCGTCAAGTATTGTAGTAGAGATAAACGACGAGTTTTCATCCGTCGCGCAGGTCTCTCGGCGAACAGGGAGACAGGGTATAGGTACCAAAATGTCATTCAAATATAGCTGACTAAAGTAATATAATTTTACTATTAATAATATTACTTGTATTACCTTATGGTCAAAATTTAACCGCACATAACTTTTGAGTTTTTGTAGGTTTTGCATTTCTGATCGTACAGCGAATCGATGATGACGTTTTTGATGTCTTCTCTATTTATCTATATGAACGTTTGTCATGAGAAAAACTGGTAAATTGCGTTTTAATTTGTATGAGCTGCAAACAATACGTTTGTATACAGATATGGTCTTTTGATGTACTTATAATCGAATAACAAAAAATAATGAATTATTATTACTTTTTACTTAATTACATGAATTATTTACTGCTTTTTATACTTCGGATAATATACGACTTCGTCTAGTAAATTTATTTTTATTATATCTTAGTTTTATCTTACTCGGCAAATGGCGCCACTAGTTTATTCTCGTTTTCGAAATTTTATCTGTCATCATATTATTATGTATTTATGTGTGAAAATTGTTTATGCTAATCTACTGTACATTCCATTCCATTTTCCAATGACATAACTATTTTGTTGTTGGTATATAATAAAAAAAAATTCTTGTATCCAAATATATTTATGAGATTAATATAAGTATTGTTGCGAGCCTAGGGGCGCATATATATAAAATTATCCTATAACAAAACATTGTACGGTGTGGCGACACGTAATGTTAATGATATTATAATCAATAATACAAGCGATGTGAGACCAGGACGAATATCGTGAACGTTGTATTATTTAATTTAGCTATTAAGATATGATCACATGTCGCTCACTTCTTGGAAAAGGCGAGATCCCGGATAGGGAGACGAGACGAGACAACAATAATATTATAAATCTTATTGCGATACCCCTCGTATTAACAGAGTCGCCACCAACATGTTACATGATCACCAGTCTTTTGTGAACCGATCATATTATATAAAGGGAGATCGAGACTAGAGCTTGGCAGACGGTTAGGGAGGACATTTGGAGGCAGGTCGCAACACTCGTAACACCGCTCACAGTCTATCAGTATTCAGTAGTATGGAGACCGGTCGTAACAGCGCTCATCTAACACCTTATAATATGTTTTACATAATATATTGTATTTTTGTATCTAAGTTTATGTTGTATAAAGATTTTTCTACGCTTAGTACATCACGTATTTATTCTCGTGTAGATGCGTGTATCGACCTAATCGGGATGTAACAGTATATTATGTTTTTATATCTTTATAGTTTATGCAGTTTAATTTTTTTTTATGTTTATATATATATTATATATATATAGATAAAATAAATTGAAATATTAAATTCAACCCGAAGAAGAATTCTGATCTCGATATTATAAAATACGAAGAATTTCAGTCTTGTAATACTCTTCATTTTAAATTGTTCGTAGTGGGAGGGGAGCTGGAAAATTTCGGTTTCGATGTTTCGAATAAAATATATTCATAAAAATAATAATTAAATTAATAGTAATTTATAATATTAATAATAATAATAATAATAATAATAATTATTATTATTATTATTTATTCTATTATCCGAGAATGCCATCAAGTCGAAAATAAAATAAGAACAATGCTCGTGTTGTTTAGGTGCCCCTAGCTCTCCCAACCTCGATCATCATTCGTATATTTTTTAAATACTCATTCATGTATTTTGTCTGTAGTAATCAATATCATTTTAAATTTTAAATCACCCGACTTAAAAGTAGGAAAACAATTACGTAAATATTGGCTTTTCCGGTGAAACCTATACAGTAATAAGTATATAGGTATAAAACTATAAAAGATTTATCCAACTTCTGTCGACTAAAAACTGAACGGTAAAATAGAGTGTATCATCCGTAATAGGTCATCGGTACAGTTTTCACTGTAAAATTGTAGATTCTAAGCGGAGTGATTAAGATTTTGATTATAAAATAATGTATACCTACACGTTTTATAGTAAAAAAAAAGCTACGATATTTAACTTTGACAGTGGTTTTTGATAGAAAATTGTACATAGTTGGTAAGTACTTTTGGGAGATTGAAATTTCCAGTAGGTATTTTTCAAAACCATCGATTAATATAACAAATAAAATAGGGAAAGTAGGAATTCTGTCTTTTTTTTGTGATTCAAAAATAATTAGCCGCATAAAATTTCATAACTATTTATATAGGTAAACAAATAATACTTTATATTTAAAAATTTATTTTTGTTTATAAGTAAAAACCTTGAAAATGTATTACAAAGTTTCTCTTGGATTCAAGGTATGTTGTTAATTCAGAAATCTAAAAATCTCAAAAATACAAATTAATTATAATTTAAAAAATGTTTTTATTGCCTTTTTATAGCATAAACCTACAACACTGTAAAACGGTATTATTTAGTATTGACTCAGAAGTTAATAACAATGAGTAAATACTTAAATACATTAAAACGGTATTCCAAATACTTAAATAGTATTTAAATAGTTTTTTATTTTTAATATTAATTTTATTTAAATGCCTAAATGTTATTAAATTTTAAGTTACATTAGTTACAGTAACTCACAAAATATTCTCAATATTTTTTATAATTATAAATTGTAATAAATATGATAAAATATTAAGTATATAATTTGGAAGATCGACGATAACGATTGTATACCAGTTGTTTTACATGCATTTTTTAAATGAAAAATATCAATTTATTTACTTCATTGCTTATTAATAATATAATATAAAAAAACCATTTAAAGACTATCATAAATTAAAATTTTTCTTTTCAATTCATTGATAAGTGTTTTAACTGTAATTTAGTTTGTTGTGGAGAAATTTGTGGTGAATGATTAATCTCAAGGGTAGGTAGTATCTAAAATGTGTATCCTGTATTTTTTGAAATTTATTATTGTATTTTAAATCTTGATGCTTTTTTTCTGATGTTTCTTATATCTTTTGTATGTCTAAAGATACCATACACCAGATATAAATGAAGATTTATTACTATTTTTTTTTTTTTTTTTTTAATAAACAAAAAATTAAAAAATAACAATTTTATGTACATTATTATGAAATATTAAAACAAATTAAATTATAAATTTCATTGAATGCAGATAATAGTGTATAAATAATTTGTAGTCTCTTATAGCTGATATAGACATAAAATAGTTTTCGTTGTTAAAATTTCTGATAAATAGTCGTTACTCTATAATATTTAAAATATAATAATAACATTAATACAAATGAACATTTTTCACAAGTATAAAATATAAAAGATATATATTTATCAATCATATTATAGGTTTTTAATTTAAATTATAGTTTTAGTTTATTAAATTAACAATTATTTTGCAGTTTCAAGTATTTAAAAAATATTATTTGTGTAACTGTTGTTACACATAGTTGTTATAGACTACATAAATTTAAAACATTTATATTTGCTTTTTAATTTCTTCACATAAACAAATTATTTTTTACAATATAAATTCTACAACTATACAGTTTTAGTAAGCTTGTTCAATTTTATCGATTTCATGTTCACTTCTTACTAAATTTAACATTTGTTTTTTGGCCTCAAAACATAAAATACCTACAGCTGTTGCTGAGTTTAAGCTTTCTATTCCATTTTCAAGTGGAATATTTATGCGGATACCTTTTCGTGATTTGGCAAATTCGTAACCTTCATCACTCAACCCGTGTGTCTCACCTCCAATAATGAGTATCAAAGGAGTGGTTTTACAGTAATCTACTTCATAGTAAGGAGCTATTGGTAATTCAAGTGGAGCTGTTTTTCTAAAAACATTAACATTTGTATCTCCATCGATATTTGAATAATCAATGTTGTTCATAAAGTTGTTATCAGCCAAACACACTTGACCTTTGAAATTTTCCAAATTGCTCCAGGTAACATCTGATATTATTTTCATTCTAAAATGTGCACCGCAACCAGCTCTCAATACTTTATCTCCCCACAAATCTGTACAGCCTAAATAATATAATATTGGTTTTTAAAATATAAAATGTGACATAAATATTGGGTAGGTACCAATAATTGTTGTCTCGGTCTTTCACATAACACGCAACATAGTTAAAAAGTAGTTTAATCATTTCATTCACAATAAATCCAAATCTGTTTTTATAATAATATCAATACATTTTCAACATTGATTGTATTAATATATTATAAAATGGGTAGTTTTTTTTTTTTATATGCAGTACTTGTAAAAGATAAAAGACAATAAATAATGGTACCAATTTACTTGTAAAAATATTTTTTACCTTTCATTAAAATAATTTGTGATGCTCCAACAGCTGTTACAGTTCTTAACACGGCACCTAAATTACCAGGTTCGCGGATATTATCACAGATTACTGTAATTGGAAATGATTTTTTATGAACTCTATGATCAATAATTGGAAATTCAAATATACCTAAATATTTAAAAATATGATTATTTAAGTTTCAATATTATTAAACGTTTTATATACTCGTTCTAGTCATACCCATTATTCCTTGGGAAGTCTCAGTCTCTGAAAATAATTGAATCATTTTGTAAGGAGCCTTATAAAATATTGTACTTGAGACTGAGAGTTCTCGTAACTCTTCAGGTAAACATAAGTTTTCTAATACTCTCTTCTGACTGAAGAATATTTGTTTTGGCTTTACACCAGCATTTAATGCATCTTGTATCAGTCGTTTGCCTTCTAAAAGAATGCTGCTATTTTGTTGACGATTTTTTTTGTTTTTAATACTCATCATGGCTTGACTGAAACAAAACATTAATTTTAATAGTTATTTGATTGTCCAACTATAATGACTACAAACTTAATTTGTTACCAAGAATTCAGAAATATTATATGGGTATATTTTATGCAATAGTACTAAATATTAAATTTAGGTAAATTTTGATTTAATAATATTAAGATTTTAAAATGATGTATTATATGTATAAACTTTTTAATAATTATTATGATATAGAGTAGCTAGTGTTAACAAATTTGATACCAACCTCAGCAAAGGACTAGTTTCTTTAAGTATGAGATATGAAGGGAATCCGCTCTCATCTTTTTCAACGGCTGATAGTACTCCACTGCGTGCGTGAGGTTTAATGCTGTTAAATAGATCATCGTTTGATGGTTTCTTGTCTGAACTCTTTGTACCTGGCCGTTTAATATCTGACACATATGTTCGTGTGGTGGCATTGATGCACAATGCTTGTCGGAAATTAATCGAAAAACTACTACCGAACGCTTTCATCCTCGATCAATTCCGTTGTGAAGATCAAATAATTTCTCAATATATTTTGATAGCTGATGAAAACGTTTGGAATAGAATTTGCAGACTGTTACTTACATATCATTATATATGTTTCATAAAAAAAAAAAAAAACGAATTATTAACAGCGACTATACTGGTAAAATAAGTAAATATTAAATCCTAAATTTATGGAAAATTCAAAATATATAAGAAACGTGCTTCGGTTTCCGGCGTTCATGCATTACACAAATTTCATAATATCACAACATGATAATAGTTATCGCTTAATTTGTTCGTTTCATAACTTATAAGGTCCATGGTTCATTTATGATAATTTTATCAGCACGACCAAATAAATAACAATAATATTGTGCGGGACTCGGAAACAGCTGTTGCTGTTACAGTTGTCTCAATGTTCATTTGGCACGATTGAACATGTGGCGTGTACGAGATAAGACGTATCAGCGTATCATGATTCACGAAAGTAATAAAATGTGGTGGTGACTATTGAGTAGTGAATGATAACTTCGAGCAAGCTTTCTACAACCTTAATGGTTAAATTTTAATATCAGTCGACTCAGTCGACGTCGTACCACTTGTGATTCATGTTCTAGTCTTAAATAAATTTTACTTATATTAATATATGAGGTTTTTTTCGATACAACAATAATAATTTAATTCATTTCATCGACTCTTTGTGGTCTGAGCATTTTTTTATTAATAGTCGCTAATTTGTCATCGATTACAGTAAATATGATTTTTCAGTTTTTCGATATTTCGTACTAGTAAAAGGAATATTGGTTATAATTGCACTGCCATTCACTTGTTGCGATAATGGATTTTCACACTTTACTTTACCAGGCACAAAAAAACAACACTAAAGACAAAGAAGTGAGTGATTTTAAAACTAATAATTAGGGTTAATCACATTTTTTTTATTTATGAATTTCAAGTTAAAATCTCATTCAATTAAACGACCTGTTAACTTATTTTTTTTTTTTTTTTTAATATCCATTTTAGTATTAAAACTATAATAGTTCAACAATTACAAAGTTAATTTGTTTTTTTTTTAAATTAAAATATCTAATACTGTACATATGTGTATATAGTTGTATAAGACATAATATTATATAATATTATTCATCCCTGGATGTATTCCTTTATAACTTCTAGCTACCATATTGAACAGGATTTACGTCCATAGATATGATTTTTTTTTTTTTTTTTGAGGGAAGGAACTCAATTAGTCATTGTCAACTTGATCATTCATCTTTCAATCAAAAACAAATTATTGATTAGTAACTACCATAAGCCTATTTTACTCATGGTTAGGTATGGTGAATTGTGTAATTTAGTAAAGTGCAACTTATATTATTTGTTATTTATTCAAGCTGAAAAGATATATACTGTTAAAGCACATATATTTCCTTTCCACTGCTTTTTCTTATAACTATCACTTTATTATTAGATTAGGATAAATTTAAATCAAAAGACTAAATATCCTTTAACAAAATTGCACACATCTCAATTAATTGTCACCAAGATTAAAGTATTTTTGTGATTTTCAATTGAAAGAGGGTAGGCTAAATCATTATAAGAAGATTAAAAAAAACTGAAACATTAACATTATAAACAGCTACTTCATAGTAATATTAATATTTCATTTTGTTCAGGTTAAATATTTCAAAGCATCATTGGATCCACCAAAAAAAGAAACAAAAGAAAGTAGACAATTGTCTGATAGTATAAAGAAGTTTTTAGCAAAAAGAGATGAAGAAGATAGACTCAAACAAATAGAAGAACAGAAAAAAAAAGATGAATTATTATTGTTGCGTAGTCAAGATAGAAAATCATTCAAAAGGGTTCAGTCTATGTTAAACCGAACTAAGTCAGCAAATAAATCAGTTATCGAGGATGCTAAAGATGATGTTAATACATCTGTTACCATGGCTGGTTAGTGCATCAACTACTTATTATATAACTTTTGAATGTAAAACAATATATTTTTATAGTGCTTTCATTTAATATATATAACATATACATATTTATTATGCTTATAATAATAATTTAATAACAATAACAATTTTGTAAGTTATCATTTTCCATATTATTATATACATATTTTTACTGTTCCACCACACTTAAATATTAGAAATTTTTATTTATTTGATAAATATTTCTTATAATGTGTTTGTTAATTTAAGTTTTTTTGAATAACTAAATTTATTATCTTTTAAAATATTATATGAGATTCCTGTTAAATTTTTTATAAATAATATTTTAATTGCAATTCTATCAAATAAAATATTGTGCTCTACTCAGAATAAGAGTATATTAGGCAGCAGAAAAAATATGTCAAGATTGTTTAATGTAATATAGAATATATGCCCTCGTTACCATTTGCAACCAGTGGCAGGGAGTTTGTCAATATTAAAATGTTAGTTTCTGATGTGCTCTTATTCTAATTACATGATAGAATATAACATAAATGTATTTTTTATAATATTAATAATTGTAATGAAGACTAATATTTTAATACATCTTTACTCACATCACTTAAAACTGATTCAAATTGATCTCAATTATATTTCATCTATATAAATTAATGTTAAGGTTGAGCTCATATTGAGCATATAATTATTATATGGTTAAAATTTAGTGAGTCAGTACAATTTTTATACTTTGTGTGCGAGCAAAAATACACAAGTTCATTCCTATATTATTTAAATAATAATCAAATATTTGAATATGTATATAGTATTTTGTATTAATCTTTGAGACATAATATTATTTATGTTTTTTATAATATTTAAAAATTATTAAAAATAAGTTAAGTTTAGATTGATAAATTAAATTTTTTTGAATAAATATTAGATATCTTTGGACATTGTTGGTTTGATTTGTATTAAATATTATTAGATTTTTAACATTTCATGTTATATAATATATATATTCTATTAATATTTAATTGATTAATTATAGGTTATAATCAACCCGATGAAGATGACTATGGATATGTTTCTAAAGATGCCATGGACATTTATAACAATATCATGAAAAAATATGTAAATACTCCAGCTGATTCAAGAAATGCAAAAACTGCTAATCACAGAAGTCACGACATTTCTGGTACTAAAGTATGTAATTTGGCTCAAGTTAAAATTATAATAAAACTAGTAGGAAATAAAAATTTAAAAATGTAACAGTGTTATGTATTATTATAGAATGTATTGATTGTTTTAATATTGTTGAATTAATCATACTAATTTGGAATTAATTCAGCATTACATTTTTAAGAGATGCAAAATAACTATTTTCATAGTTTAATTGGTTTTTCATTTTTACCTAATACAGTAGAACCTTATTATCTCAAAGTTTTTGTATGTCAACATTTTTTTTGCAATCCTGATCATTCAGCATTGGACTTACGTGTTAATTTATTTTGGTATATCAAATTTTTCTATAAGTCGAGGTTATTATTTGGTACCTACTGCCTATTACTATTCACTAACTCCAATTTATAATAGATTAGATAAAGATGATAAAGTATACAATAAAATATAAAATAGGTATATAAAAAAATTTAAACAACATTGTAATGACATTGATATTTAACTTAAGTTCAGCTAATAACCGATAACATAATATTAATTTTACTTTTCTATTTTTTTAGTTTTTTTTAGTTTTTTTTTAGTATTTTGTTTGGCATACGTATCATATGCTATCTACCAAAAAATTGTACATACAAATCAACAAACATTTATTACTAACCTGCTCAATAGCCTGTTGGTTGACAGTTGTCCCATTTTAAATAGTGTGTTTGTTAACAGTTGCTCATATTTCTTTAATTTTTTACGAGATATAAAAAAAACATTTTTGTAAAAATTAAAGAAATATGAACAACTGTTAACAAACAGGCTATTTAAAATAGGACAACTGTAAACCAACAGGCTATTGAGCAAGTTAGTAACGTAAGTTTGTATATTTGTATGTATGATTTTTTAGAACTATAATCCTACACCTATATACCTATATGATTGTCGATACTGTCAATTTAGACTACAGTAGATAACATAATTACTTGTTAATAGCATAAGATACCAAGAATTTATTCGTAGACATGTATGCCTTCTGTTTATTGTAAACTTGTCATTATACTCGTACTTAATATTATTTATTGTACATTTTTTTTATGAATCCTTAAATTTTTTTCTTGTATACATAAATATTATAAAAAATTTTTTTTTCAAAATATAAATGTTTTTATTTCTAATTGTATACATATTTTCAATTACCTCAGTAACTTAAAGTTTAATATATCATTTTTTTTTTTTTTTTTTGATCGCTTGAAATTAAAAAAAACTGAAGTTCCGCTGTTTATAAATATATTACTATCAACATTTAAATAATATAATAAAATACAAATTCTAAAAATAAAAAATGAATATTATAATTTGATATTTAAATAACAATAAAAATAACAAAAACAGAAATCTATTACATTAATAGGATTTTTATTATATAAACTATTAAGGGAACTATTTATATCAATTTGTTAAGAATTTATACAATTATTAAAAAAAAAAATTAATATAATGATAAAAGCTTAAGTTCCGGTATTAGATTATTAATACATTTTGGTTTTGTAATAGGTCATGTTTATGTAATTTGAACTATAGCATACAAAATGTGAAATGCAGTTTAAATTTATTTATACAACTAATCAGCAAACTTAACAAATATTATGCTGACACACATTTAACAATTTAAAATTAATAATAAAATTTTTATATTACAATTTCTTACTTGGTAATTTTTTATTTATCATTTATTTTGTAAGTAATGACAAAGTAATAAATATTAAAATAAAATATAAGGTTACTCGTGTTAGAGCATATCATGGTACTTATATTTATCACATAAATGATCAAACTTAGCATTACTGTGTCACTAAAAGTCTACAGTTATAAGTTATATAATTAAATAGATTTTAAATAATTAAATTGTTTAATAATTATAAATACATGTAATTTTAGTTTGTATTTACTCTACTATTAAAATATATTTTAAATTTTTTCTTTTTTTTTTTATTGTTGTTTGATAAGCAATTATAATTGTTTAATGATTTTTTAGGATCGTGTTAGAGCAGCATTGCTGAAAGAAGAAGAAGATCAATTATTGCCACATAAAAGAAAAAGAAAACCTAAAGATATAGAGAATGGTGAAGATAATCAGGATAGTGTTGAGCCACAGCAAAAAAAATCCAAACCTGATATTAATACAGAGAAAATCAAAAAACGACCAGCACAACCTCCGCCATTAAATTTTCAAGAATTACTGAAAATTGCTGAAAAAAAACAATATGAACCTATAATTATTGAAAAACCTAAGAAAGAAGAACCTTTACCTATGATGACCAAGAAAGAAAGACAAAAATATTTAGAAGAAAAAAGAACTGAAGAAATAAGGCAAGCTCGGCGACAAGGCAAGTCCTTACCTATTATTGATAAACCCAAAGAAAGTAAACCAGTTGAACGGATTCAAAAATCATTTGCCTCTTCTTCAAAAGTTGATTTGCATGCAGAGGATAAACTGAAAAAGAATGCTTCTGTATGGTCCAAAGACCTTAAAATTAGTAAAGAGCTAAATAATAATAGTAAAAATGACAAATATGTACCTAGGCTATTAAATAATTCTGAAAGTTCACGAATTAACTCAAATGGGAATAGAATCACCTCTAAAAGTTCAACAGAAAAAAATATGTTGAACGAAAAGAGGTATAATTCTAATGATGAACGTTATTCACCAAAACCTAGAGGTATTCCAAAAAATGATAGATATGTATCCCAATCAAGAAGTTCATCATCTGAACAATATTCGCCAAAGCCTAAGAGTTCAATGACATCTGATAAATATGTTTCGAAATCAACCCCTACTGAGAGATATGTGCCTCAATCTAGAAGTTCGTCATCTGACCAGTATTCACCAAAACCAAAAAGTTCAATGGCATCTGATAAATATGTTTCGAAACCAATCCCTACTGAAAGATATGTGCCTAAATCTAGAAGTCCGCCATATGATAAGTATTCTCCAAAACCGAAAAGTTTAATGCCTTCAAATAAATATGTGTCAAAATCAACTTCTATTGAAAAATATGTGCCCAAATCGAGAAGTCCACCATCTGATAAATATTCTCCAAATCCTAAAAGTTCTAATAGCAATTTTTCAAAACCAACTCTTACTGAAAAATATGTGCCTAAACCAAAATTCTCAACTGATGAGAAATATTCACCAAAACAAAAGAGTACTGTACAACCAGAACGATATGTGCCCAAAGTAAAAAGCTCATCTTCCACAGAACCATATACACCTAGTGCAATTAAGAACTCAACTGAAAAATATAGTCCTAAACCAATGTCATCTCAAAGCATGAAATTAAAACCTACCAGCTCAAATGATAAATATGTCCCAATGTCAGTTGATAAATCTAAAAAGTTACTGACTAACAATAGTATTAAATCTAAACAACTAACACCCAAGGAAATGGCATCCAAACAATTTCCTCCTAGAGATATGAAACCTAAGCAGTTCCCACCTAGAGATATGGTGCCGAAGCAGTTCCCACCCAGAGATATGATCCCTAAACAATTTCCACCTCCTGATATGAGAAGACGAGATGATCGACGTATGCCAATGCGCAACAAACGTCAAGTCATTGAATCAGATTCGGACGAGTATGATTCTGAATTGGATGACTTTATTGATGATGGGCCTGAAGAGGAAGCTGATTACTCAAGAGTTATTTCAGAAATTTTCAAATATGACAAATCAAAGTAAATTTTTTTATCTAATAAGTAGCTTTTTGAGTATGTTGTAATTAATATTTTTTTTATATTTCTAGATATAGAGGAATGGACGAAGATGATGAATGCATGGAGTCTGATTACCGTACTCTTCAAAAAGAAGAGTATAAGAGTACTAGAGCTGGTATGGCATATTTTACATTTTGAATAAAGTCTATACATATATGTTTATTAAACTTATAAAAAATAATCTTATTTTTATACTTTGTGGTCATAGAAATGTAAAAATCCTGCTCATACAAATTGCAATTGTTTACAATTTATAATTAACTTAAAATAATCTAACTAGCTGTATAATTTACATAATTTATTATGATTTCATTCATAAATTTATGTATATATTTTTTAGGGATTTTGGAAGATTTAGCAGATATTCGAAGAGAAAAACAAATGATGAAGAGACGAAAAAAACTTTAATTTTCAAACTATTTATTTTGATATACATATTTTTGTTACCTTAATTTGTATAATCTTGTTTTTTTAAGGTTTACTAACCTTTACTAAGACATATTTTTGGTATAATTAAATATATGTAGTATATATATTATTCATTCAAATTATTTTACTTAAGAGGACACTACACAGACATTTGTTGTTTCTGTCTTACAAGTGCGTAATATAGACAAAATACGTTTAGAAGATTAGGTTTAGCTTTGTCAGTTTAAAAATTAGAGTAAATCGACCTATAATGAAACTTGATGGTAAGAACATTTTCTGTGTTTGTATGTGGGTTTTTACAATAATTCATTTTTTTAAATGAGTTGTGAGCATTTTTAATTTACTATATTTTACATTAGCAAAACTTGCTAAAAAATTGAGTTATCGTAAAAACCCACATACAAACACAGAAAATGCTCTTACCATCAAGTTTCATTATAGGTCGATTTACTCTAATTTTTAAACTAACGAAGCTAAACCTAATCTACTGAACATAAATTGTATATGTTATGCACTTATAAGATAGAAACAACAAATGTCTGTGTAACGTTTTCTTTAGTTACAAACATTTTTAAATAATTTCCTTACTAACCATACTTGATGATTTGCTATTCATAGTATTAGAATTAAATTTAAACTTAATTTGCATTTTGTATATTTTATACAAATTTCTTATTGTTTCACTATTATCAATAATTCAAAATGCTTATAATTTTTTTTTTTGATTTTGTAAAGCTATTATTTTATCTAGATCCCATATTTGTAATTTTTAAATGTAATTATTGTTTTATTTATCTTTTTATGATTTTGTTCAATGTTTGAGCAATACATAATCAAATTGTTGTTTGAGGGTTTGAGATTATGAGTATTATGGTAATTAACCAATAAATAACTATGATTATTGATTAATTTTTAAATATTTGCACAAATTATTAACTTAATTTCCGATTCTGGTTAACTTTTCTTTGAAAATGTAATAATATTATTAATTATTATAATTTTATTTTAAATATTGCTATAAAATAATATTTTTACTTGAGCGACTGTATTTTGACCAAAAACTTTAATGTAAAAAAAAAGATTTTTTATATATAAATTATTTACAATTTAACTGTTCCACATTAAATTTGTAATTCTTACAGATTTTAGTATACTGTGCTAATGGTTAAGTTTTCAACTTGTGTTATTGTTTTTTTCTTTTTATGTATAATATTCTTTGTTTTAGTTAGTTGGAATAATATATTTTTGTTAATGGTTTATAAATGTAAATAAAATTCAGTTGAGTGAGATGAGCTAAGCTCTATTGACGTCTGCCTAGTTGTAATATATAATGACCAACATTTTTTTTGTCAATTAATTTGTGCAAAATGAATATTATAAATAATTATTGTTGAAAAGCATGTGGACATAACTTTTGTTTAAATAAATAATTATTGATAATATTGTAAAATGTCTTTACACTTGTGATTAAATTAAGGAATATTAAATTGTTATTATTTTTATTACATTTTATAAGTATTATAAATTATTTGTTTCTGTTTTTAAATAAAAATACATTATACCTTAGTATATGTCTAAAAATAAATTATGATTCCATCCAAGTATTTTAAGTATCTAAATAATTTGACAAAAATATGTTTGATTAATGCTTTGGACTAACAGTTTGAAAACGATTAGTACATAATATATTAAAAATAATATTATTTGATGGATGAATAAAATAGAACACAAAGAACAAAATAAAATAAGCAACTACTGCAAATAGTTATTATAATAAATTATAAATTAAGAAGTACATGGTGGGGCAGTGGGTTATGATGAATTTTAATTGAAGTTTATTAGTCAAGTACTAAAAATAAAGTAACGAAATAAATTGTATTTTATTCAACGTAAAGATTGTATTATTTCATTGTTATCAACGAAAATGTTAACTTTTAAAAAATAACATTACTTAAGTGGCCGCTTTCATTTTGTAAACAGTCGGCTATCCGTTTTTTCATACTGTCCATAACTATTTGTAAAATATGCACATCGATAGCTTTAATTTTTCGTCTAATGTTTTATTTTATAATTCTAATAGTGTGTGAGTGGATTGTTAGTGAACATTTTAGACTTCAAAAAACGCCACAAAAAGAAATCAGCTGACGTTAGATCAGGAGAACGCGGTGGCCTGGCAATATCACCATTGCGCGAAATTCAATAAAAGTCATAACGGCGAAAACACATTGATTCTCAGGCCACATGGCCATGATTACTGATATAGTAAAATTTAACATTACGAACTTTAATCTGGCGAGACAAACTAGTTTAACTTATCTTCTTTAGTTCTTAATAATGACAGCTTTCTTTAAATCGTCAGAACCTACCTAATTAACCCAACCCTATACTAAAAATAATAATTTTATGCTAGGTATTCACTATTCAGAGATGAAATAATCAATAATTATTAAAGACGTGTACAAGTGTACGATATATTCTATTAATTTTTTGATTATTAATTTAGTCACTTATTTAACTATTCACTACACCAGTGTCATGTTTTAATACCAATGATCGATCGATCATTGGTGCTACAACTCGGGAAAAAGCATGAGCGGAGCGATAAATAACGTATTGATTTCACAATGTTATGTGTGTTTTTTTTTTGTGTCTGTGTACATCATATAAGTAGTTGATAAAATGCTTCAATTTTCACTTTAAGTGTGGTTTTGAAAATTGGATTTAATTTGTACTTTAAAATGGTAAGTATTAAAAATTCCAGTGCTTTTTTTTTATAGCTGGAAAAAACAAACAAAAAGGAAAAACAAGAATTTTCACGCAAATCCAATGTTACTTATAATTTAATAACGAGTTCCACTCGACACTTAATGCACAGCAGAGCGGTTCCTACTTGTCTACAGTTTTTTTTTCATTTGTAATAATTACATTAAAATATAATTCAATGAAAGATGAATATTGCTGTAAACCAAAAAATTAATATGCTTCGAGTGTCGCGAAGAGCGGATATTCGTAATAAAATTTTATCACCCTCCCTCCACAGTTTTTTTTTTTGTGGTTGAGCTTAAGATATGTAACAACTAACTGCTTATACCAAGAGGAGTTTGAATGTGCAAGTGATATTAGGTCGAATACGTCTTCTACTTAAAGTAATAGACTACATGTTTACATACTCATACTTATATATATTACAATATTAAAATATTGTAATCAAATGTGTTAGTCTCATGACCTTATAACACTTATTATAATGAACAACTTAATCTTGTGTATAATGTTCAATGTTGAGAAGTACACTGGGTGGTTTACCATTTACTGAGCGTGTTCACTCTCATATTAAATTTTGAACGGAACGATAAATGTATTGATTTCACAATGGAAAATGCTTTTTGTGTGCGTATATGCTATAAATTACAGACATATCGTAGAAAATAAGCTCCGATGTTCAACTTTGAAAGTGATTTCTGATGTAGAAAATTGGTTCTAGTTGGTAGTTTTGAAAGGTTAAAATTTAAAACTCCTAGTATTTTTCAAAATAACTGAGATATATATTTTTAGAAAATAACTGGTATTTTAAAATAAAATTGATTTTATTTCCTTTTTGTGTAACTAAAAACGAATAACAATAGATACTTAAAAATTTTCGTACAGTAAAAAAAAACCTTGAAAATTTATACAGGGTTTGTGTTCATTATAAATTAAAAGTTGTTATTATTACTGGACTTAAAATAAAAATCAAGCGAATTTGAATGCTCAATTGCTTTATGTTCGATCAACAGTTTTTGAGTAAGATATTTTAAGTGCGGAATAGCTTGGGATTTTTTATTAGCTCTCCACACTCATAGAAAAATTTGCTCTACTTTACATAATATATTACTTACATTCGTACCACGTTTTTATGAGCATGTTCCTCAGTCAAAGTGTCATACGTCAATTTCTTCTTAGATTCGTGTTTTCAAGCATGATTTTTTTATGGGACATGTTTTGAAAACTTGATTTAAAAAAACAAAATCCAAGTCTGACAGCAAACAAAATAAAATTATAGATAATAACAAGTATAGCTCTAGACTCTTATTAAAGACATTTTACAAATAAATTTCATGTATTAGCTATGTATGGTTTTAATAAACACTAAATTAAGATTAGCGTATTCTTACATAGTAGTTATTTATTTCAAATAATTAAATTCTATATAAAATGTTTATTTAAAATGTATGCAATATCAATCCGACCATCGAGTGTCTTCTTTTTGGAAAATTAGATAACATTCATAGTAACACCACAGAATAAACAGAATGGAATCATTTTTATTTAACATGGGCTCTTATGGGACATGATAAAATCGTGTCCAACATTTTGTAAAATTAAACGTGCTGCCACGTACGGGGAAATTACCATTTTTCTTTATTTCATGTAACACTGTTAATTCATTCAAATTTACATTCAAAGTTCAAACCAATTGTTTTTAAGAAATTAAATTTTTAGTTTTTACTTACTATTAAAGTACTATTAAAGTGTTTAGTTTATGTTCAACGTTGTGGGTAAATGAACAAAATAACACATACATAGAAGATTATTGCTGTGACGTTACATAATCTGTAAGAACACCTCAAGTTTACATTTACTAGTTTGAGTTAAGTAAGTTGTGAAAATCCAAACTTTTACTTCAGTATAATTCAATATATTTTTTTCATATATTTGTAATTATCAAAAACAATTTATATATAACAATTATTACAAAAAATAATACAAAATATAATAATCAACAGTCTTAATAAAACCATCAGATAATTTAATAGGACAATTCAGACTTGATAGTTACAATGGAATATTAGTAATGAAAGAACATTAGTAATTGTATTTTTTTTTAAAGTTACAACATGATAATACAAAATATTTTAAAAGTTCTGTTTGTTTGTGTTTGTGCTTATAATTATTAAAATATTGAAACATTTTCAATAAAACAAATTTTTTAAATAATTGTATGATACTACTACTCCTTAATACATGTTCTGCTTTAACCTCTACAATCCTTTTAATTTAATTGGATAATAAAATATTCATATTTTATTCGTATAAATATATTATATATTATATTTATCGTATCACCGAACTTAATATTAATTTAAGCTATTTGAATAAGATAAAATATTAGTAGACCTAAATTACCTAAATTAGGTATAAATATTTTTATTGGGAAGGTTTCAAGTAGCACAAAAAATAACAAATTATTACAACAAATAACAATTAAATTTTAAAAAGATCATTAGAAACAATCAGTGAAAAAAAATTCTAGACGAGCTATATAAAATATAAATATTCCAAAATTGCAAATTGACAGTGTACCTACAAACCACATAACATTTAAAAAAAAAGGGGGAAATATCTGTTTCCTAGCAGGACATTTAATTTCTCAAAATGACGGACCGTTTTTGGTCAAGCCTTAAGATACCGTTCTGTTTATTCCGTGGTAATACGCAAGATACACACGATTCGGCTGTCATAAATGATTTTATTCGTTGCACAGTTGTGGCAACATATGGACATCACAATATATAAAACAAAATTATCTGTAGTTTTTGATAACTTACAATATATGAATTTATAAAACGTTTAAGGATTTACTCAAAACACAAATATTTAAAAAATAATGACTTTAT